GAACAGAAGCCTGAAGTAGCTTCCCCATCCCAGCATTTCCTCTTCTCATTGCTCCCATGTTCATATCTGCTACATCAGGGACTGGTTAGTTGTGTGGGTCTGTGAGCCTCAGGTGGAGACCACTGCCCTCCTGAGCGGGCCCTGGTTCTTAAGTTCTAGCCACCACCCTTTCTTTCTTTTTTTTTTTTAAATGTTTTATTTATTTCTAGGAGAGAGAGAGAGAGACAGCATGAGCAGGGGAGGGTCAGAGAGAGAGGGAGTCACAGACTGAAACAGGCTCCAGGCTCTGAGCTGGCAGTCAGCACAGAGCCCGACGCGGGGCCCAAACCCACGAACCGTGAGATCATGACCTAAGCGAAAGGACGCTTAACCGACTAAGCCACCCAGGCGCCCCAAGCCACCACCCTTTCTATCCCCTCTAGCGAAGGGATGGCCTTGAGGCCGATGTACCCTTCGGTTTGGTTCCTCTGTCTCTCGCCCCTCTCCTCCTCTTCCTCCTCCCCACCCTTTCCCTGGCATCTGTTTTCCCCTGTCTATTGCCTGCCCCCCGCCATGCCTCCCCTATTCTCTCCTGTATCTATGTCCCTGCTGTCCTCAACTCTTCTTTTTTTTTTTTTAAATTTTTTTAATGTTTTATTTATTTATAGGAGGGAGAGAGAGAGACAGCGTGAGCAGGGGAGGGTCAGAGAGAGAGGGAGTCACAGACTGAAACAGGCTCCAGGCTCTGAGCTGGCTGTCAGCACAGAGCCCGATGCGGGGCTCGAACCCACGAACCGCGAGATCATGACCTAAGCGAAAGTTGGATGCTTAACCGACTAAGCCACCCAGGCGCCCCTGTCCTCAACTCTTCTCTTCTCTTCCCTTCTCTCTCTCCTCTTGTCCTTCCTCACTCCTTTCTCAGGCTCCCCACCCCCACTGGCCTTGGCAGATGGCAGCTCCTAGGTCATGGGACCTCTCCTACCAGGGCACCTACGGCTTATCCTTGAGCCAGCCCCTCCTAGTGGGGTGTAGGCAGGCGCAGGGGCTACTAGGTGGAGGGGAGAAGGTATGCATGCAAGCAGGTGCTGGGCTCCCCATGTGGATCTGCGCTTCAGGAGGCCTTGGGCTCTGGGGAGGGGTGAGGGTGCCCACCCCAGCTCACCAGCCAGCAACCAGTGCCAGGAATCCAAGGAACAGCGGCATGAGACAGTCAGGGCAGATACATATCTGGATGGCATGTCTGGATGCCAGGCCCTTGGAGTGGGTGCTCGAAGCTCTGAAGGGCATGATGTGAGGGGCCAGGTCTCAGTTAGCTGCTTCCCAACTCAGAGGGACACTGGGCTGTATGCTGACTTTCCAGACTTCCCAGACTACAGGGTGGGCCATTTGTGTGTGTGTGTGTGTGTGTGTGTATTAAAGTATATATGACATAAAAGCTACCAGTTGAACCATTTTTAAGAGAACAGGTGAGGAGCCTGGGTGGCTCCATTGGTTAAGCAACTGACTCTTGATCTCTGCTCAGGTCATGATCTCATGGTTAGTGGGTTTGAGCTCTGTGTCGGGCTCTGTGCTGGGATTCTGTCTCCCTCTCTCTGCCCTTCTCTCTCTCAAAATAAATAAACTTGAAAAGAGTACAGTTCAGCAGCACTAAGTACATTCACTGTGGGATGCAACCATCATGGCCATCCATCTCCAGAACTTTTTCATCTTCCCAAACTGAAACCCATTGACTGCTAACTCCCCATTTCTCCTTCCCCCCAGCCCCTGGCAACCACCTTCTACTCTCTGTCTCCATGAACTTGACTCGGTGTGGGCTTTTCTTGCCCTCCCACTACCAGCACCACACTGGCTGTTTCCAGGGGTCTCTCTGGCCCTCCCCCCTGCCATCTTCCCTTCACTATTATTCTTCTCCTGAATAATAACACTCACCTCAGCTCTGCCCCTGCCCACTTGGACATCTCCATCTCCTTCCTCCCTTCTCAGGACCAGCAGGTGCTTCAGATCCTGCCCTCATACTGCTCTGGAGAAGACCACCCCATCCAATGGTCTTCTTTTGTTTCTCACCCAAGTTGACCTTTCTATACTATTTGATGCTTCTGGTCACTATCCCGCCTCTGCTGTGAAGTTCTCTTTCTCCCAACCCCCGAAAGAGTGGAAGAACACAAGCCTTGGAACCTTCCGAGATCTGGGTTCAAATTCTAACACCGGTGATTACTGGTTTGGATATGTCATCCCCTGTCCTAGAATCTCAGTTTCCTATCTCTAAAACAAGACAAATCATAGAGATCTTGAAGGGTTTTTCTGAGGGTCAAATGAGCTAATGTGTATAATCCCAGTACTGAGCCTGGTAGTGTGTGGGGGTCCTACTCCGCAGCTTCCTTTTCTTTTCAGCTCCTTTACTGGAAACTGACCCCTCCCACATGTTCCTGAAACATAAGGGTGCCCTGAAGCTCTGTCTTCATTTTCTTTTCTTGCTCTGGTTCTCACCCATCTATGAATTTAAAATCACTTTTATCTCTAGTCTGAGTACTCTCTCCTAAGTTTCACATCTCCAATTCCTAGTGGTTATCTCCCCCTGGATGCCCCTGGTGTGTGCCTCCTGCCTTGGGTGAACACCACCTCCTCCCCTGGTGCCCAGGTCTTGAAGCTCTGAATCGTCTCGGACTTTTCCCACTTACTCTCCCCTTCCACAGGTAGGCAGTCACCCAGTCCTTTATTTGCCCTCTGAAATGCCACTCAGACTTCCCTCTTGTCCAGGGTTCCAGCCTTCTTTTTCTTTTCTTTCTTTCTTTTTTTTTTTAAGTAGGCTTCACCCTCACGACAGAGCCTGATGTGGGATTCGTCTTTTTTTTTTTTTATGTTTATTTTTGAGAGAGAGAGAGAGAGAGAGAGAGAGAGACAAAGCGTGAGCAGGGGAGGGGCAGAGAGGGAGGGAAACACAGAATCCGAAGCAAGCTCCAGGCTCCGAGCTGTCAGCACAAAGCCCAACGCGGGGCTCGAACTCACTAACCGTGAGATCAAGACCTGAGTTGAAGTCGGACACTCAAACAACTGAGCCACCCAGGTGCCCCTGTGGGATTTGAACTCACAACCCTGAGATCAAGACTTGAGTTGAGACCAAGAGTCAGATGCTTAACCGACTGAGCCACCCAGACACCCTGTGGTTCCAGCCTTCATTAACTCTCCCTTGGATGGTGGCAGTGATGTCTCAACTATCTTCTGGGCCACCTGCCATTCATTCCTCCTTATTTCAATATAGCACCAGCCCCAAGATAGTTCACCCTCTCCAAAACTTCCCACCACTCCCCACTGCCTCTAGAACATTTCCCACTGCCTTTATAATATTGGGGTGCCTGGGTGGCTCAGTCGGTAGAGGATGTGACTCTTGATCTTGGGGTCATGAGTTTGAGCCCCACTTTGGGCACAGACTTTCCTTAAAAGAAAAAAACAACATACCTGACGTAGCCATCTAGGCCCTCAGTGGTCCTATCACCTAGACTCTCTGCTTTTCGCCTCATCTGTTGTTTTGTGAACTATTCCAAAGCCAACATACACGGCTATGACATCACTCTTAAATATTTTAGTGTGCATCTTAAAAAAATAATTTTCCTATATGATCATATTGTCATCATAGCTAACAAAATTATTTTTTCATGTCTAATTATCAGTCCATATTCAAACTCTCCCAGTTGTTCTCAAAAGGTCTTTGACAGTTCGTTTGTTCAGACAAAGATTTAACCAAGGACTAAGCGTTATACTTGGTTATTATGTGTCTAAAGTTTCTCAATCTTGACTTCAGACCACTTTCCCGTCCTTTTTTCACCACATCCTTCCCGAACCCTTTGAGCTAGCCAACCCCAGCCTGCCCTGGACTTTTAAAACTACTCCTTTTTAATACTTGGCTCTTTCCTTGTCCCTGGAACGGAGAGCTTCCTTCTTTATCCTCTAAAGTCTTCTCAGAGAGTACCACCCACCTTTGTGATACAAAATCTGAAATCTCTTCTTTTTCCTCTGGGGCAGAGACACCACCTGCCCCGCCCTCTGATCTTGTCCACCTACCACCAGGGGTTTCTGTCTCTGCTCAATGTGGACTTGGCTCTGTCTGCTGGCTGGAGGTCACAGTCACTGTCTTCCTGCCCTTGTCTGCCCCTCCATCTCCTGTGCATAACACATGCCTGGCATCTAGTGGCAGCACAATAAACAGATGAATACTTCCCCCCACCCCCCAGCATCTTTGGTCCTCTTCCGCTGCCTGCCTACTGTGATAACTGGGGAGCAAGGTCCAGAATGGGCTTGGTGTGCCTTGCTGGAAGGCTGTGATCCTGGAAACTGGTTCTCAGCCCAGCCCAGATCTCCTTCCTTTTGCTGTTAACAGTTTCTTTTCTTCTTTGTGTACACATACTAAGACTCAGGAAGTGGTTCTTAAGTCGGGACCATAAGAACCCAGGGCATGGGGCCCAGGCTGGGGGAGAGTGGAGTAATGTCTGGTTCTGTCCTTGGCCAGTTCACACAGCTCCTTCTGGGGCCCACCATGGCACACAATGGAGGGGGGCAGCTGGAGGCCGCCACCTCCCCTTCCAGCCCTCATCTGGCTTTGTCCCTTGGGATGCAAAGTGCTGCCTGCTGGTGTGGGATGGGAGATGCCTCGCCTGCCTTGCGGCCCTCCCCCAGCCCTCCACCTGATAAGAAGCTGATCCAGCAGTGGTGGGAGCACAGCCCTTGTCAACCCAACCCCATGACTCTGACGTGTCATGATTGACTGGCTTCCTTCCGTGCTTAGCCCACTACTCGGAGCCCCAGAAAATGGAGAAAGGGACTAACAGAAGGGGGACAGGAATACCCACTCTAGAGTGTTGGGGGACTCCCAGGATGTGAGGCCAGGGACTTTCTGTGTTTATTCTGACCCCACCCGATCCCAGGGATCTAACAGCGCCCTCTGCCGACTCGGGGGTGGGGGTGGGGGCTTCAACAGATGGAGCCAGAGGAAGGTGGGCTCCGGGTGAAGGATGAGGCGGCCTCTTGAAGACCATCTCGTCACCTTGCCTCAGCTCCGTCGCCCCAGCCCGGGCGCTCAGAGGGTAACTCCGGGCCGCTTATCCCTGCTTGGCTGGCACACGCTTCCTCCGCTTCCCTGAACCAGAGACAACCAGCCGCCGCTCGGTCCCGCTCTCCCAGTCCGAGGTGGTATGGGGACTGGGACGCCAGAAGGGCCCCAGGCACCCTGAGGTCCTGTCCTCGGTGGCCTTTCTTCGCGAAAGAGGTGGGCGACGCCTTCTGGGTAGGGGCCACATGGCCTTGGCCGGGCGGGGGGCTCGGCCCTCCCCTCGCCGGCCGGGTGACTCAGGCCGCAGCTGTTCCCGCGTCACATGAGGGAGGCAGGCGGCCACTGGGCGGGGGAGGCGGCGGGGGAGGGGGATGTGGCTGGAGGCCGGGGCGGGGCGGCGGGCGTGGCCGCAGCCGGGGGGCGCCGCTAGAGAGCCCCTGAGCCGCGGCGGGAGAGGAGCGCACAGCCTCGGGGAGCCCAGGTGAGGCCGCGGGCCCACGGTCGGCCTCGGCCTGGGTGGGTTGTCGCTGGCAGCTCCCTCCTCCGGGACTTGGCCCGGGCCCTCGGAGATCCGCCGTGCTCTCGGGCGCTCCCGAGGCCCTCCAAACTTTGCAACTTTGATAAGTTCCAGAGGCCCGGGCGGGGTGTGGTGGCGGGCTGGTGGCGCTTCTGTTTTGGGGGTGGTCAGAGCGCAGGGGAAGGCGGCGGGGGGTCGCGCTTGGCCTAGGACCATTTTTTCAGGACCTGGCGCGGTGGGTGGGGAGGGGGGGTTGGACGCCGGGGCCCTGGCGGGCCAAGGGTGGGCGTCGGGCTCCGGCGCCCTCGGATCCGCCCCAGGCGCGGGAGGCTGCGGGGCGGGTCTGGGCTTCGCGGCCGTCGCCCCCACCCCTCTCCAGCCTGGAAGGAGAGGGGGCTGGGAGACGTGGATCCGACCGCGGGTTTCCGGGTGGGAGGGGCCGGGAATGGGGGCCGAGCAGGGAAGGCCTCGAGGGCCGGCGGGGAGCTTTGCAACCGAGGTCCCACTCGGCCTGTTCAAATCCCCCTGCCCTCCCCTCTGCCCCAGGCCCGGCAGCCATGGCGGTAGAAGGAGGAATGAAATGTGTCAAGTTCTTGCTCTACGTTCTTCTGCTGGCCTTCTGCGTGAGTGGGAAGGGGGGCGATGGGGGCGCTCTGGCAGGGTGCGGGGAGACCGGGATCCGGAGTGGTGAGGTGGGGGGGCCCAAGAATGAAGTCAGCTGGAGACCAGATGTGGAAGGAGAGCCTGGGGAACTGGCCGGAGACAGCAGGGCCACCCCACCCCTTCCAGCTTTCAGGGACCTCTGAGGCTTGTTTGGACCAAGAATGGACAGCGTGGGTGCGCAGCACCCTCCCCCTCGCCCCTTCTGGCCCTTCCTGTCTGGTGACCCAACCACTTGTGATACCGGGCAATGGGGCAACCAGCCAACGGCCCGGCCTGATGCTATCGCCTTGGGGCTTCCCTCTCCTCCCCCACCTTCTCTCCCTTCTCCCCTACCTCCTCATTCCTTTCCATTCTTTCATCCCTCTCACTTTCCTTGGTCGCTTCAGAACCCGCCACAGTTTGCTCCTCCCCTGGGGTCCTGGCTTGAGAGGCTGCTCTTTGTCCAGGGAGGAGCTCACTACTCTTGCCTCTGTTCCTTCTCCCTGGCCTTGTGGGCCTGAGAAACCTGAGTCACAGCTGACGAGGATGGGGTGGCCATTGGAACATAGTGAGAGGGCAGTTCTGGGAGCCCCAGAGGCCCATAGGAAGCACCACTCTAGGTTAGGAATATGTGCCTTGGGGTCAAGGCTTTCTGGGAACTCCTCTTTTGGCATTTGATCAAACTGTGGGGCAAATATGGGTCATCTTCTTCCCCCACAATCAAAAGGTTCCTGGAGGTGTGAGAATCTGCCTCTCTGGGATGGGGCGAAGTCTGTGTCTTGGGTGCAGCTGCTGCCCTGTCACTGAGGGCTGATAGGCTGTGGGTCCGGCCTAATCCTGACCTGCCCTCCTCACAGGCCTGTGCAATTGGATTGATCGCCGTGGGTGTAGGGGCCCAGCTGGTCCTGAAGGAGACCATTGTCCAGGGGGCCACGCCTGGCTCCCTATTGCCTGTGGTCATCATCGCAGTGGGTGCCTTCCTCTTCCTGGTGGCCTTTGTGGGCTGCTGTGGGGCCTGCAAGGAGAACTACTGTCTTATGGTCACGGTGAGCACAGTGTGGGGCCAGCGTGGGAGTCTGGGACTGCTGGGAGTGCACTTCTGCCTGGGGGCTTAGGAGGTGGGGGAGGAAAACCTTTATGCCCGAGCTAGAGGCTGGCCGGGCTATAGCAGGCCACTCCCACCAAGACTCCAAACCTGACCCCTGCGCTTTGTGCCTGCAGTTTGCCATCTTCCTGTCTCTTATCATGCTGGTGGAGGTGGCTGCAGCCATTGCTGGCTACGTGTTTAGAGACAAGGTAAGCAGGGGAAAGGGGAGGGCCCTGCCTCAGAGGTCTGGCTGCTCTGGGACCCGTGTGCCCTAAACTTTGACCTCAACAATGCTCCAATTCCCAGGTGATGTCAGAATTTAATAAGGACTTCCGGCAGCAGATGCAGAATTATCCAAAAAGCAACCACACGGTTTCGATCGTGGACAGGATGCAGGAAGATGTGAGTGAGGTTTCTGGGAGCAGGGGTAGTGGGGGAAGAAGATTCTCATCTTCATATGGAAGGTGGATGTTCCTGTAACAACCTTCTGCCTGGCATTTCTCTTCTGCAGTTTCAGTGCTGTGGGGCAGCTAACTACACAGACTGGGAGAGCATCCCCCTCATGCCCAAGGGCCGAGTCCCGGACTCCTGCTGCGTCAATGTCACGCAGGACTGTGGGATTTCTTTCAGTGTGAAGGAGATCCACCATGAGGTAGGGGAAAAGTTGAGATAGAAGGGGACTTGGGAAACCTGGGAAATTGTTTCAAGAGTTGAGAGGGACTAGGGATGGAGGTGGAGACGGCTGGGGTTCTGGGATGGGGGGCTGGTATCTGGGAATGCTAGGGGCAGGGTGAAACATACAGAGCGTGGGGGAGGGACTGATGGACCCAGGAGGTGGGTGGGAAGTTTCTGATTGTGTTCTTGCCTTGTATGGCTACTACCCTTCAGGGCTGTGTGGAGAAGATTGGGGGCTGGCTGAGGAGCAATGTGCTGGTGGTGGCTGCAGCAGCCTTGGGCATTGCCTTTGTGGAGGTGAGAGGCAGCTTTTCGACTCATTCTGGGGCATCAGGGCAGTAGGGGCAGTGGGAAGAGGTGCCGAGGAGGTTCTGGCCGGGGGGGGGGGCTTGGTTGTGTTTGGGGTCTCTTGGGTAGGTCTGGGATACTTTGCCTTTCTGACTCCTCTCCACCCCTCTATCTTTACTTTTAGGTACTGGGAATTGTCTTTGCCTGCTGCCTCGTGAAGAGCATCCGAAGTGGCTATGAGGTGATGTAGGGGGTCTGGTCTCTTCAGCCCCCACATCTAATAAGGGAGTGGGGTAGTACGCTCCAGGTTTTTCAATTAAACTGATTATTTTTTCAGACTGAAAAAAGAGTCTCCATTTGTCTTGAAGAGTGATACTTTCCTTTCCCTCTCCTCCTCCTCCATGTTCCTGTCCAGTAGGACCTTGTTCTATTTGCACCTTGGGCAAGAAAGGCTAATTTTTTGGGGGGGGGCGGGCGGGAGTGATTTTTGGGAAAGGCGGATTTTGCTGAAGGTGTTGGTGGGGCTGCTGTTGGAAGGGGGATCTGGAGGCTGTGGCCCATTGCCCTCCCTGTCTCCTAGCCATGTTCTGCAATGTTCATGGAAGCCATCTCCTATAAAAGGCAGGGGGTTCCCCACAAAGTTTCTACCTGAGAGGGGCCAGCCCAGATTTACCATGGACATCTTTTCCCTGGCCTTCTGCCTACCTCTGAGGGCCCAGCAACTCCCTCCGCAACGAAGGGGACCTGGCTCCTTTCAGGCTGGTGATAAGTTGCTGTGACAGCTTTGTGACCAGTATCCATCTTTTCTGACTTAGATTAGCTTAACAGAAGACCACTGAGGTGGGTACTGCCTTTTTTTTTTTTCAATGGAAACCACCCAGCGTGGCCCTGACCACTGTTCACCACCTTCTGACCCTCTCAAGAAAAGCAAGTAAAGGCCATTTGCACTCCAAACACTGAACTACAACTTCTGGTAGAAAATACAAACCCAACAGTGCCATCTGGTGGCCATTCTTCCATGTGCCGCTTCAAAGAACACCTAGTCAGGACGGCTGTCCCCCTCCCTGGGTAGCTGCTAGATGTTTTGCAGGCACTAAACAGGCCAGAGACCCTGGGTATTAAGTCAGCCAAGGGGATAGCACTTAAATGGGGTCAGTCTTCCACTGGGCAACTCCATTTCTGTCCACTTACAGCGCCTTTTTTTTTTTTTTTATTTTTTTTATTTATAGGAGAGAGAGAGACAGCGTGAGCAGGGGAGGGTCAGAGAGAGAGGGAGTCACAGACTGAAACAGGCTCCAGGCTCTGAGCTGGCAGTCAGCACAGAGCCCGATGCGGGGCTCGAACCCACGAACCGCGAGATCATGACCTAAGCGAAAGTCGGACGCTTAACCAACTAAGCCACCCAGGCGCCCCCTTTTTTTTTTTTTTTTTTTAAACATACATTTATTCAGTACTTATTTTGTGCTAGCACCAGGCAGTACCTAGGTAGGGACAGAAACAATCTTTTGCTGGAAGGCTGAATTCAGTGGACTGCCTGGACAGGCTTGGGAAGGACCCAGGTGAGCACAGCATCCACCAGGCTGGCTGGCAGGTAGGAGGCCGGCAGCCAGAGCAGCTTGGCGTCCCAGCCTGGGCTATAGCGGGTTCTGGGGTGACGAGCAGTCAGGGCGTGCTCCAGGCACCTGCTCACCTTGGTCAGGTCTGGGTCACAGATCAGGCTCATGATGCGCCGCTGCACTTTCAAGTCTGCGGTCCAGGAGGTGGTTGTAATCAGGGTCCCTGTCCCTCTCCAGCCCGTCTCAGGCCCTATCTTCTGGGTCCTGGGGCTGGTCGGTCCCCAGCAGAAGGGAGATGGATCCTTAGTCCCCTCCCCAGTTTGACAAAGTGGGCAGGTTCCACATGGCCTGGATGTTCTTTGGCATCTCATTCTCCCTCACCTCCTCTCTGCCCACCTGCTCCCAGCAGGCAGGTGTAGGATGGTCCTTTCTGGCACCCTCATTTTCCTTCGTACACCCCTGTGTGGGCCCAGATACTCACACTTGGTGAGGAAGGCCTCCCCGTAGTGGGCCTGTGTGTCAGGAGGTAGCCGTGCCCAGCACTCGTGCAGTGTGTCCTCCAAACTCTCCAGGTTTGTCACAGGGGTTCGGAAGAAGCCAGGCTCTACGATGGCGACTCGCACCCCAAAAGGAGCCACATCCCGCCTGGATGGGAGTAGACGGAGGTTTCTGGGTTCTTGCTCTATAGGAAAGGGATCTTCTGGGGTATGGATGTGGGGGCTAAAATGGGGAAGTTACCACAGGACAGGGACAGGGGTCCTGATGGTAAAGGAGATCCCTGCTGTCCTGGGATGGGGACAAGTGGGACAGGTATTTTTGAGGTTTGTTTTCCTTTATATTCTATAATCCAGAGTGGGGTCAGTAAACTTCTTCTTCTTTTTTTTTTTTTTTTATTTATTTCTAGGAGAGAGAGAGAGAGAGACAGCGTGAGCAGGGGAGGGTCAGAGAGAGAGGGAGATACAGACTCTGAAATAGGCTCCAGGCTCTGAGCTGGCAGTCAGCACAGAGCCCGACGCGGGGCTCGAACCCACGAACCGTGAGATCATGACCTAAGCGAAAGTCGGACGCTTAACCGACTAAGCCACCCAGGCGCCCCTGGGGTCAGTAAACTTCTTAAGGGGCCAGGCAGTAAATATTTTTGGACATCACAGGCCTAAAAACTAATGATATCAGGTAGGTACTTTTTTAAAAACATCTATTTATATTTGGGGGTGAGAGGCAGAGAGATGGAGACAGAACCTGAAGCAGGCTCCTGGCTCTGAGCTGTCAGCACAGAGTCTGACAAGGGGCTCAAATTCACAATCTGTGTGATCATGACCTAACTGACTGAGCCACCCAGGTACCCTGGTACTTTAAAAAAGAAAAAAAAGATGTTTATTTTTGAGTGAGAGAGACAGAGTATCAGTCGGGGAGGGGCAGAGAAGAGGGAGAAAGAGGATAGGAAGCAGGGTCTACTTTGATAGCACAGAGCCCGATAGAGGGCCTCAAACTCATGAACCTGGAGATCATAACCTGGGCTGAAGTCGGAAGCTTAACTGACAGACACCCAGGAGCTCTCAGGTAGGTACTTCTATAATCACTTACAGCATAACCATTTAAAAATGTAAATACCATTACTAGCTTGTAAGCTATTGGTCAGATTTGGACTGAGAACCAGTTTGCCAACTCCTGACCTAGAAGAACCCCATTCCCTAGGTCCCAGAACACAGCGTGGAATCCTGAGTGCTGGGCATGAAGGGTGTAGACTGGTATTTGCTGGGGAGACTGCAGGGATACACCCAACCCCCCTGACATGGATGCAGAAATGTGTTCCATGATGCTGATTGGAAAATTAAAAGGCCAAGGGATGGGCACCTGGGCGGCCCAGTTGGTTATGTGACAGACTTCATCTCGGCTCAGGTCATGATCTCAGTCAGGAGATTGAGCCCTGCATTGAGAGCTCTGCCCTTGCCCCTTTCCTGCTTGCTCTCTCTCTCTCTCTTTCTCTCTCAAAAAAAAGACAAGGATATACAATTAAAATTCTTTGCTGAGTGATGATGACAAAGCCAGGCTTCCTACAGAAGGCTGGCTGGGGTGTACTTGTACTGCTCAAAATTCAGGCCCTGGTCTCATGTGGTATTTGTCAAGTCTCCTTTGTGCTCTCATAGGACTTTGAACATTATTGTTTAAAGATGAGGGACGGGAGAATGTAAAGACCAGGCAAGCAGACTTGGGGTAAGTCCCTGCATTTCTATTAACTAGTTGTGAGATCTTGGGTAACTTGGGTAAGTTATATTACCCAGAGGACATGAATACCTAATCCCTTATAAGGTTGTCGGGAGCAATAAATGAGAAAATGTTCTATAAAGGTACTAGCTCATCCAAGTAATAGTCATTATTATTAATAATAATACTAATAATGATAGCAGGCTTCTTGGGGCATTCTCTACGTGTACCTCATTCCAGTTGCAACACCCGTGAGGCAGGTCTTCTCATTCTGATTTAACAGACGGGGAATAAATTGGGGAAGAGAAGTAACCTATCAAGGTCACAAAGCTCCCATGAGAGAAGGCTGGCGTCTGAAGCCGCAAAGCTAAGCCCTCGACTGCCTCCTCTTCAGTATTACACTCTAGCGTTTTAGTCATCTCTGCAAGGCAGCCCAGGGCTCTGCATCCCTCACCTCAGGCTGTCAGAGAAGGCCTCCAGGGCAAACTTGGAGACACAGTAGCCCCCACCATTGGCAGCCAGGCGACCCAGAACACTGGTAATGTTGACCACCCGGCCCCGGGCCTGCTGGAGCAGCGGGAGCAGGGCAAGGGTGACCCCGATGGGACCCAGCGTATTCACACTCAGCACCCGATAGAAATCATCCCGTGTGAGCCACGGTGTGGGCCCAATGATACCAGCCACACCAGCATTATTCACCAGACCAAAAAGCCCTGTGGAGAGATGAAACAGATACCACAGGGTAGGTAAGGCATTCCAACACTCTCTCCTGATCACTCTTCCTTCCCCACGCAGTCCCTCTAGCTTCCGGCCGCCCCTGTGACTGAGGATCCTGTGCCATGAACCTGGGGGCCCCAGCGCGACTCACCTGCTTCCCCAACATGTGTTTCCACCCACTTGGCTGCCCGCTGGACACTCTGGGGATCAGTGACATCAAGCAGGGTGGTGTGGAGGCGAGAGGAGGCCACCCGCTGTAGGTCTTCTGCCCCCGAGGGGGTCAGGCAGCTGGCCAGGACTCGGAAGCCTCTCTGGTCCAGTCTCAGTGCCAGAAGGCGCCCGAAGCCTGAGTCACAGCCGGTGATGAAGACGAAAGCATCGCTGGCGGGCAGGCTCTGCCGGTCCCTGAACAACCACAGCGCTGCCCAGAGCAAGACTCCCAGCAGCAGGGGCAGCCACATGGCCAGAGCCCAAGTGACCTGCAGGTGGCAGCCGAGGCTGGGCAGGAAAACTTGTCTAGTTTACTCAGGCTCCTAAACCCTTGCCCCGAATATATTCCCGAGCTGGAAGTCTGGTCTGAGCATATTGAGAAATTATCTGCTGGGCAGGTAATTAGCCAACTATGGCTTATCTAAGCAAAGCAAAGATCGAGGCAGACCCTATATTTGTGGCTAACTTAAACTAAAACCAGATTAGCCGGGTCCTGTGTGCAGGCCGGCTGCACGGGAACAGAGGGATCTAGTTCCCAGTCACCTCTCCTGCTAAGCCAGGGACGTCTAATTCTCTAAATGTAAACTGGGCCTTAGTTTTGGAAACACATATGGGGCAAAGAGCCCCGCATTTTAGTCCCGGTGGCTCCAAACTTACTGTG